TACATATGCAGTTTGTCATTGACCAAAATGTCATTAAGCAGTGCATGACTATTCAGAAAAAAACACAATAATAAAAAATAATATAAATAAAATTACAGTATAACTATTTACGTAGCATTTACATTATATTGTAATCTAGAGATGATTTAAAGTATACAGGAGGGCACGTGTAGGTTATATGCAAATAGCACACCATTTTATATAAGGGACTTGAGCATCCACAGTTTTTGGCATGCACAGGGGTCATGGAACCAGTTCCTCAGGCTACTGAGGGACAACTGTCTATGAGAAAGATATACGTCAAATAGTTAATGGTGGTTGTCTTTGAATGATTGAATTATAGATGATTTCCATAGTGTCTCTGTGCTTCCTGTGTTTTCCAAATTTTCTATAATAAATATGAATCTTTTCATATTTAAAAAATGCAAATTTTGAAAAAGATGACAGCCAGGAAATAGCAGGAAGAGGAAGAAAGCTGGCAAAAAGGACGGTACCTTCAGAGCATACAGGAATAACAAGCCCAGTTTTTTCCTACTGCATTCTCCCAACACAGTCACACAGTACTTCTGACCCCAGACATGTGTTTGCGGGGTAGAGTTTCCTCCCACCAGCCAGCAAGCAATCCTCTAGCAGCGGACACCAGCTGGGTGTCCTCCACTGTAGTTCAATTCCAACACTATCTACCTGGAGATAGCATCAGAGCCCACAGGTTGACGACTCAGTCCTATGAGAATATCCCCCACTTCCAATGCCAATCACAAGTTCCAGGTTGTTTTACCTGTGCTTCTGACCCACTGGTTATAGATCAGGGTTCCCACAGCCCCCTCCTTGCGCCCAGTTAGTTTGCCAGAGTGGCTCACAGAGCTCAGGGAAATACTGAGTTTATTGTAAAGGCTATTTCGAAGGGTACGGAGGAAGAGATGCATAGGGAAAGGCAGGTGGGCAGGGCTTCGATGCCCTCCTTGGGTGCCACCCTCCAGGAATCTTCATATGTTCAGCTATCTGGAAGCTCTTCAAACCCTGTTGGGGTTGGTATGGAAGTCCTTTTGGGTGTTTATAGAGGCTTTATTATGTAGGCATGACTGATTAAATCATTGGTCATTGGTGATCAACTTAGCCTTCCGCTCCTCTCCTTTCTCTGGAGGCCAGGGAATGGGGTTAAAAGTGCCAATCCTCTCATCCAGCCTGGGTCTTTATGACCAGCCCCCATTCTGAAGCCACTTAGGGGCTGTCAACTCCTTGGCATACAAAAAGACATCACTATGGAGATTTGGAGTTGTATGCCAGGAAACTGGATAAAGACCAAATATATATATTTCACCACATCACAATACCCCAGGAACTGAAAAATAAGATCTCCCGTGAGACCCATTGAATAATGGATGATGGAAGGTGGGCTACAGAAATGATTGCAAAATAACACCTAAGAGCTAAAAGGACTTAGTACATCTTCTCCAAACCCCAATGTCAATGACAATTGTCATTGTACACATGCAGACATGGAGGCTCACGAGGCTGTGTGGCTTGCCATCTAGTTAGTGAAAGTGCTGGGTCAGGAACCAGGTCCCCTGATTCCCAGGCTGGTGCTCTGTCCAGGGGAATTTGTGGAGTAAGTGCGGGCTGGAGGAAGTCACAGGGCTCTCCCTCCCAGGAGGGGGATGATAGCTTTGGGCTAGAACTACCAGTGAAGGAGCCCCTGGTCTAGCTGGACATTCCCAGGCAGAAGCACCACCAGGGCCATGCCTGTTGGTGGAAAGTCCTGCCCCTCTACCTCTTATTTTATTTCCATTTTCTTGGAGAGAGGTTAGCTTCAACAAGGGATGGCAGTGTCTATGAGGCACCTTTCCAGTGTAGCACTCAAAAACTTCCTCAGAGCTGGGCGTGGGGGCTCACGCCTGTAATCCCAGTGCTTTGAGAGGCTGAGGCAGTTGGATCACTTGAGGTTAGGAGTTTGAGACCAGCCTGGGCAACATGGTGAAACCCTATCTCTACTAAAAATACGAAAATTAGCCGGGTGTAGTGCACATGACTATAGTTCTAGCTACTCAGGAGGCTGAGGCACGAGAACCACTTGAACCCGGTGGCGGGAGGGTACAGTGAGATGGTACCTCTGCACTCCAGCCTGGACGATGGAGCAAGATCCTGTCTCAAAAAAAAATATATATATATAAAAAAGGAAGTCTCCTCAGCCTGCCCAGGTCATGGACTTACTGCCCCCAAATATGTTTGTGTCTTTGCTCACTTGATCTCCTGTGAAGAGCATCTTTCCCCCTCCCTCTCTCCTACCCCTCAAGGTTTAATTCTAATCTTCAACTTCTTCAGCTAGTAGAGCCTGTGCCTCTCATTTGGAAAGCGTTCTCCAGGCTTTGCATTTTCTTTGGCTGATATCGCGTTTCCTTGCAGAGGCCATGAGGTCTGGAAGGCAGGAATCAATTCTCCTACAGGGAGGCATGCTCCCGGGTGTGGAGGACAATGTCTCGCATGAGGCAGGCACTAAGTAAACACTCATGGTGTGACTGATGGGCTGTTTGAAAGAAATGTGCTCGTGAGAGTCTGGGGCACATCTAGAAAGAGCCGAGAGAGAATTTTCAAGAGGAGCTGGCAGCACAGAACTTGTTACAGGAGCCTGTCAAAGGCTTTGTGCTGCCTGGGTTTTCCTCCCTTGATCCTGGTGTCAGTTTCAGAAAGACTTCAGAGGATCCTGAGTCAGGAGGGAGCAGACCCTGGAAAAAGAAAAACAAGTTGTGCTGTTTGAGCTAAAGAGAATGTCAGGAGGAAGCGCTGTAATGGGAACCCAGGTCTGCGGAGACTGGAAATGGCCTGGAGAGAGATTGGGCCCTGCAGGTTTCAGCCGCTTTTCTCAGGTGCAGGGTGGGCTGGCCTTGATAACAAATAAGTGGAATATGAATTTGGGCAAAGAACAAACAGTATGTGAGATTTCTGATGGCAAATAATAATGATAAGCCAGCGGGCTGGGTATGGAGAAGGGGATACTGCCAGTTCTTCAGCAGAAGGAGCCTTTTCAAGGGAACTACTACATGGATCTGAAGCCAGTTTTTCAGGTTTTCAGTGGCTTCCATTAGGTACCTGGGCAGAGGCATGTAATGGAGTGGGGAGGTCTAGGAGATTTATAAACCAAGGATGTTTGAATGAGAGACGTGGAGTACATAGATCTTGGAGTCTCTCGCTTGCAACACAGAGGTTTATTGGGGGGAAAGGATTTCAAGTCTATCCTATTAGAATTAACTGGTGTAACAACCAAATATCAAAGAGCAACATAGGGATGGGGCGAGAGAACGAGTCTTGTCTTCACCTTGGCTGAGAGATTTTTGGCAGATTCTCAGAGGTTAAGCTCAAGGAATTAACTTCCATAAAAGATAGTCACTCAACATGAGCTAATTCAAGAAATTGCTGGGAATGCAGGGATGTGTCCAGTTCTCATGTTATTCACAAAAGAATAAAAACACTCAGGTTTTGGAAGTAGCTTTTTTTTTTTTTTTTGTGACGGGGTCTTGCTCTGTTACCCAGGCTGGAGTGCAGTGGTGCAATCTCAGCTCAGTGCAGTCTCCGCTCCCCTAGTTCAAAGGATTCTCGTGCCTTAGCTTCTCAAGTAGCTGGGACTACAGGCATGTGCCACCACATGCAGCTAATATTTGTATTTTTAGTAGAGACAGGGTTTCGCCATGTTGGCCAGATTGGTCTTGAACTCCTCAGCTCAAGTGATCTGTGCGCCTTTGCCTCCCAAAGTGTTAGGATCACCGGCGTGAGCCAGCGCACCTGGCTGGAAGTAGCTTTTAAAGGGCTTCTAGAGCATCTCGTTTTGATGATATAAATGTTTAGGGAGGGTGAGGAAGAGGAGCTGGGCAGGGTAGGAGGAACTTTATGTATCATTGAAGTAGCATGACATAATTTAAAGGGGGTTGGTGGCCGGGCGCAGTGGCTCAAGCCTGTAATCCCAGCACTTTGGGAGGCCGAGGCGGGTGGATCACGAGGTCAGGAGATCGAGACCATCCTGGC